GGGGGGAGGGGGGGGAGAATCAAGGTTCTGAAAGACAGGCCCCCAGGTGCGCTGACCTGCTGGAGCCAGCCAGCGAAGGGGACAGCCAGGAGTGCCCCGGATGCCGGGTCCTGCCCATCCCTCTACTCAGTAGTAAAATGTGGCCCAAAGAGCATCTTCTGTCCTGACGAGTCCTGGCGCCTGAGCGGGATGTAACAAGGAGCCTGGGCGAGCAGACAGCTCAGAGAGAAAGACAGCTCAGCCCAGAAGGGGACTGGTCACAGAACAGTCCCCCAGAGTGGGGGTGGGAGGCAGAGGACATGGGCTCCTGGTATGACCCATGGACATTTGGACCCTGCCCTCCTGGGAGCGCAGTCCTGACATGCCTGGCTCTCCTTGTCCTCGTTTCCCATCAGCTTGTGACAGGTTCACCTTCCTGCACCTGGGAAGTGGGGACAACACACAGGTGATGCCACAGCTGGGAGAGATGCTCTTCTGTCTGACATCCCGGTGCCCGGAGGAGTTTGAGTCCTACGGCTGCTACTGTGGGCAAGAAGGACGAGGGGAACCAAGGGACACCCTGGACAGGTAGGGATGCGCAAGGGTGGCAGGCCGGTGGCACCAATGCTGCCTGCAGTGAGAGGTGACAACCCTCCTCTACCTGGGCCGTCACTCTAGGTTCACAAAGAGCTTGTTGCCTGCATCACCTCACTCAGGAGGCTCATCGCCATCGCAGGCCCATTTCTCAGGTGGGCAGCTGAGGTTCAGCCTTGTCTGAGGCCATTCATGTGTGAAGGGCAGAGCCCATAGATCTAGACCATTGGGTGTGGGAGCCTGGAGCCCCACCACAAACACTTCCCAGCACCCTAAGAGGGTAACTCAGAGGGACCCCAGACCTGCCCGTTTGCAGTGAGCGACACAGACGATTGGTTTCTCCGCTGCTCTGCTCTGCCAGAGACCACTTTGAAATTAGCTTCCCAACAACTTTTAAGTGTCACTGGTAAATTTTATATCTGAATTTCATGTTTACCACCTGGGAGGAATTGCACTGGCCTCAGGCACCCATGAGTTGATTCACTCAGGGCTGCGTGCGTTCGGCCCACACTTCTTGAGCTTTCGCTCTGCGCCAGCCACTGCGCTCGGTGGCGGCAGCTTAGAAACAGTTCAACCGGACGAGCAGATCAGACCACCCGTGTCCAACGGGACCTGCGCAGTGAAAGAGACGGGCAATTTTACAGAAACCCCACCGGGTGTCATCAGTGCGTCAGGAGAGACGCAGGAAGCGGAGAATTCAACCGGCAGATGAGTTTGAGGAATATTCTGAGATCAGCAGTGAGGCTGGAAGACGGGTCGCAGGTGGACACGGCCCGTCCACAGCCGGTTGAGAGCTCCGCGTTGAAAAGGCCTGTGACCGCCTCGGATGCTGTGTTTCCCAAAGAAATCAACAGCTAGAGCTGAACTTAGAAAGAAAGAAAAGACGAGTCTTGCTGTGGTTAATACAGGTAACACGAAGGGCAGGGTTAGGGCAGGCAGCCGGGCGTTACCGAGGTCGGATGGGGTGTGATGACTGCATCGCTCACCCCCCCCC